TCTGGTTTATGTACTGTTCGCTACATCTCTTGCAACATCTGTGGAATCTTCACCAAAATTATTTCAGATCAAGACTATAACAATAATGACTTATTGGATTTTTTTTGTGTGTTAAAAATTGTTTCGCATATCCTTATTGGTGCACAATGGAAGTTTTTCCTACAATAGTGATTTATATTTTAAGTGGTCAAGTTGAATTTCATGTTTACATCAGGTCCGTCAGGGTTAATTTAGTAGTATTTATATACTATTATATAGTTTTTATTAATATTATGAATTAGCATTTGTATTTATTTTTTCTGTTTTCATATTAATTTTGTTATTTGCTTTTGAATTTATTTGTATTAATATTAATATGGTATTATATTCATATTAAATTAACATTTTGTATTAATAATACTATTTAGGCTTAATTTATTTTTATTTCAGTTTTAGTTAAATTTTAGTAATATTTTTTTCCAGATGCTTTAACTTAAATTTAAAGTAATATAATATTTATATTATTTGAGCTTTATTTTAGTTTTTCAGACCTTTTTTTTGGTTTATTTTATATAACTATTTAGGTTTATTTTTTTATTCATTTTCAGTTATTTTAGTCATTTTAGTGCTTCAAATTAAACTTATTTTAGTTAGTTGCCAAGGCACGATTTCTAATTTTCATTTAGTGTGTTTTTCATCTAATAATTATTTTATTTCAGCTTTATTTAAACTAACAAAAATGCTTTTAATGGTTTTAGTCAATGATAATAACACTGCTGTCCGTAAACAGAAAATTTTCTAGCTAGCAGCATTTAATTTTTTTCAACCACAGATGGCAATAAAGAGGCCAAAGTAGTGCACTAAGTGCATTAACAAATCTCTGTCTCTGAAGCTCTGTCTTAGAGATGCTTTGGTGTAAGAAAACAAAACTTGGAAAATGTCATCGCTGCCATACCCTTATAGAGTCTGCAAAATTTCACGCCTGCACCTCCTACATATCAAAAGATATAAGCAATAATATACTTATATCCTTTAAACCGACTTTAAAAACAGGAATATGCAGCCCTACAATGTAATTTCCAGATACTGTATTGTCAGGTATATTTCACTGGTGTGCTTTATTGCTGCCTGCAGCTATTTGTCCTGCAAACTACTTTTCAGTCGTTGATAATGAAAGGTTAACGTCTTTTCCTCTCATTTGTTTTGCTTTCTGCAGGTGCAGGCCCTCACCCTAAAGCTGTGTCAGGAAGGGTTATCAGTTGTACCTGGTGGTTGTTTGCTGTGGTGCTCCTGGCCTGTTATTTTTCCAGCCTCAGTTCCTCTCAGGGGTCTGACTCTGCACCGCTCATGATTAAAGGTTTTGAGGACTTGGCTAATCAGGATGTAGTAGAATATGGAACACTCGCCGGCTCCTCCACCCTCGCCTTCTTTAAGGTCTAATCACATGAATTATATGCACATTCTTCTGATTACTCAAATTCATTCCTGCCAGATGTTACAGAAAAGATCTCCTAACATGTTTTCTTTTTGCACAGAACTCGAATAACCCATCTTACCGTCGCATCTATGAGCACATGGAGCGGAGAAAGAGTTTCGTGTCCTCCATGGATGAGGGTGTCCAGAAAGCAAAGGAAGGAAACTATGCTTTTATTGGTGAATCAGTGTCCTTGGACTTAGCTGTGGCACGGCATTGTGAACTGGTCCGGGCACATGAGGTCATCGGGATGAGAGGTTACAGCATTGTAACTCCTCTTGGTGAGACAAACATATTTAAGCAGTATTTTTAAAATGGATGTACACTGTAAAAATTATTTATCACAGTTGTAAATAAAGATTATTAGAGTATGTTTTACAAGAAAATACTATTTTAGTCTTTACTCTTTCACAAAATTGCATGTTAAATTCAGTGTGTTACTTGCTGTTTCTTTGTAATTATTTGTGAAATGTACTACAGTTTGAGTGAAATTGGATTTTTTTTTCCCCAAAGGAGTTTAAAAACGTATACATTAAAGCTATAGTTAATCAAAACATGCAAATTAGGTAAAAGTTTACTCATTCTCAGGCCATCCAAGATGTAAATGAGTTTATTTCTTCAGAATAGATTTGGAGAAATGTAGCGTAAAGTCACTAGCTCACCAAAGGATCCTCTGCAGTGAATGGGTGCCGTCAGAACGAGAGTCCAAACAGCTGATAAAAATAAAAAAATCACAATAATCCACAAGTAATCCACACGACTCCAGTCCAACAATTAATGCTTTGTGAAGTGAAAAGCTGCGTGTTTGTAAAAACAAATTTATAGAGGCATTTTAACTTAACCATCGCTGCTAGCCAAAATACTATAGTCCATAATCCATAAAAAAAAAAAAAAAGTGACGTGACATGTGGCCAAGTATGGTGACCCATACTCGGAATTAGTGCTCTGCATTTATCCCATCCAAAGTGCACACACACAGCAGTGAACACACACCCGGAGCAGTGGGCAGCCATTTTTTGCTGCGGCGCCCGGGGAGCAGTTGGGGGTTCGGTGCCTTGCTCAAGGGCACCTCAGTCGTGGTATTGAAGGTGGGAGAGAGTGCTGTACATTCACTCCCCCCACCTACAATCCCTGCCGGTCCAAGACTTGAACCCGCAACCTTTGGGTTACGAGTCCGACTCTCTAACCATTAGGCCACGACTGCCCCCTATAAAGTCCCCCCATAATAACACTTCCTCCAGTGAAAAAGTCTATCCCCTGTTGTCCTCTCACAACAAAATCCACATATTTGTTTTGAACAGTTTTGAGCTGTTTTTGCTTAATCTAAACGTATTTCTCTCCTGATTCAGACAAGATGACTTTTTCACTGGAGAAAGCAATATTATGGATTATGGACTCATAGCTGGAAGCAACTGTTTGAAGTTAAAAACGCTTTGATGGATTTGTTTCTTACAAACACAGCTTTTTGCATCATAAGACGTTAACTGATGGACTGGAGTCGTGTGGGATTATTGTGATGTTTTTATCAGCTGTTTGTACTCTCATTCTGGCACCCATTCACTCCAGAGGATCCATTGGTGAGCAAGTGATGGAATGTTAAATTTGTTCTAATGAAGAAACAAAGCCATCTACATCTTGGATTTTTTTCCATTTTTCCATTAACTATTCCTTTAACCTTTACCCGAAAAATAACTTTTTTTGGGATAAATTATTTGTTTAAAGAGAGGCACAAGACATCTTGATGTTTCAGCTGTTGCTGCAGTTCAATCCAAGTAGGGATAACTGCAGGCTGGAGCAGTGTGCCTGGCGAAAAATTAGGGCGTGCCGAAAGGTAGGGGCATGGATAAAGGTCTTTCTAACTGGTTAGGGTTAGGGGTTACGCTGCTTTCATGCCAATGTTGTAATTCCCGTAATTCTGAGATGACAACACGAGACATTCTACTCAGAGCTGATTTATGTGTTTCTATGCCAGCACTATCAATGCCAAAGCCTTCACATGCTCCAGAACACGTAATTACAATTTATAAGCTCTGAATGTTCTGTGAGCTACGACTTGGACCATGTAACAACTGTACCACCTGACCGCTACCAGGTTCATTTAAGCGCTACTTAAGCGCTACCTCTGAGTCACGCCACCTTTTGCCATGCCCATTACTTTGATTACTTACCATTGTCTCGTTCAATTTGCAGTGAATGGTTTTAATGCCACAGTATGTTTTGGAACAGGATCTCCCATGCTCAAGAACCTAAGTGTGGCTATCCTGCAGCTGAGTGAGGCTGGGGAGCTGGCGTACCTGCGCACTAAGTGGTGGGCTAGCAGCTGTATACCGGATAGTGCCAAAGGCTCGTCTCTGAGGGCCCATAGCATGAAGGGCATCTTCCTGGTTCTGGCTATAGGCCTTGGGATTGGAGTGCTGCTCTCCTTGTTTGAACTCACCTCAAAGTCTCGCAGCACTGCAGGGGAGCAGAAGGCAAGTAATGCCAATATAAACACACACACTCACACACACACATCTGAATGAACTACCACACTTGGAAGAACATTTACAGGTTTTTAGTGGTTGTTAAACTTAAGCACAGATTTCAACTGTACAGTAGCACATTTTGATATGTGTTTTTGTTTATTATAATACAGTCTGTGAAAATAAACCTGTTCTCATCCATACAGAAATCCTGCTGCGCAGTTTTGACTCAGGAGTTGAGCCAGCGTTTGAGAATGATCAACACAAAGGGAGCCCAGGAAACCTCAGACAAAAACAAGGCATAAAATGCTCAACAACACTGATGTAATATGCAAGTCTTACATAGCAGAACGACTTTACTGTTCATAGGTTTGTACATTATCTGGTGCTAGGTATTATTACTATTTCTCAAGTTAGATAATTATATATTTTTTTAACATTTTATATTTTAACTGATTTAGATTAGATGTACTAAATTTCAGATAGGGGAGAGTGGGGTGAGTTGATCCAGTTTTTACTAATGGTGTGTTTAATGCGAGCACATGACAGTAATGGGTCCAACTTAAATATGTACAAAAATTTCAGGAGGTGGTGCATCCTTAGGAATAATCACTTTGGGTCTAAAATAAACTGCTTTCAAAATATGGGTTTCCAAAAAAAAAAAAGATGGTCTCTTGGCTCAACTTGCCCCCAGTGAGGGGTAAATTGAGCCTAGGGAGAGGGTAAGATGAGCCACATGGAGTTGAACTGATTATGGTGAAGTAAAACTGAACATTTTCACCTCATGCTAAATCAAAGGAAGAGAAATTAAATAAAAACAACTTCGGAAAATCAATGTGTGAGCCTTGTGATGGACTGGCCATCCATCCAGGGAATGTCCCCACCTGTGGCTCAAGACGCTGAGTTAGGCTCCAGCTCCCCATGACCCTAATAAGGACAAAGAGGTTTGGATAATTGAATGGATATATGGATGACGTCTTAAAAGTTTTATTTAAAGATACAGTTCACAACTTTGAAGGCATTTTTTTCATTATTTAAAAATTTCAGAACAAAATAAAGTATAATTGAATAAATAAATCAAAAATCAAACAAACTGCAATTGACCTTACAGAACCGGGCTAATAGTATTCAACATCCCACTTACAAATGTTGCAGGGAAATACAATTTCATAAAAACTTAAATGGCCAATTTTCATAAACAAGGCCTATTTAAAATGTAAAGTTTAAAACAAAGAACAAGTAAAATGTTTGGTCTAAAATTAATGAATTATAATGTAGAATTACAGTAAAAATAATACTTTATCATAAGAAGGGGTGAGCCACTGGCTCAACTTAGCCCAGGACTTTTGGCTCAAATTACCCCACTCTTACCATTTTAACAAACTTGTATTGTCCAGCAGTTTAGAGCTAACATCATGCTAACAGTACAGCCTCATATTATAACTTCCTAAAGCACAAATACATGATATTTTTTCAGATTTGTCTGTAATTGTTCAGACACAAGAAGCATGAGTCCTTGAACATAAAAAGATCACTTTGAACAGCAAAAAAATGTTTTTTGAACTTAAATGTAGTTAGCAATTATTCCATAGGCCTCTCTCTATCACAGGGTGAGTAAAATGGACAACTCTCATATATTTGTGGTCACATCACCAATTTTGTTTAAGGTTGTCTAGAAACAAGGGGTGGCTCAACTTCCCCACAGGCCCAAATCACCCTGCTCTCCCCTATTTTTATACATAATTTAATAATAATAATAATAAAAAACATTTTACATTTAAATCAAGCTACCTGTCTGTTCAGTAAAGCGGTTGCAATGAGACAGATTTTTTTAATCTTGCAGCAAAATATCATGCAGTTTGTATTAGATTATTCTCATACATTCCATCTTGAAACAATATAGAAACTTTTTAGACCAGAATTATGAATCAAAAATGTTAAATATAAAATATATTTTGTTAATGAATGACAAAGATTGAGGACAAGTAAAAAAGGAGTACATTTGATTTTATGTTTGTTCAGTTATGTACACCAGAGGAAATGCTTGTAATAAATTCAGAAATGCAAGGAAATGCCTATAACAAAGTACAAGTAAAAATACATAAAATGATGTTAAAAGCATACTACTCTTACTATCACAAATGAGGTATGCATTCTGGCACCATGTATATTAATGAATTAATAAACCCGATTTAACACCCAAGTGTGATTGCATTTTTTAACAAACATGAGTAGAAACATATGTTTAGATTTAAACTGTGAATTGCAGCTTCCAAATGCAAAAAACCAAATGCAACATTCCAAGCTCCTTTTGGAAAAAATATGAATTTTGAGCCCAGATAGCATGAGATGATGAGTAAGATTTAAACAAGATAATACTTGTACAAAGGTTTTCTTCCTTTAGCATCTGTCTATATCCATAATTGCAGTGTGGAATTTTATTTCAGTTTCTTAAGTTTCACATGCATGTTTTGTTTTCTACAATGTTGATGAATCTAAAAAAAGATTAAAAACCCACCATAAATTAACATCAGTTAGATCTCTTGGAAGGTCAAATAAAAAGCGATTTTTGTCTTACTCAAGCTCTAGACATTTCAACCAGCATGAAAAGGGCATTCATTTAACATAATTTATCATTTTAAAAAAGGCACTGTTCTGTGCCTTACGACTCACCTCTGAAAAACAGTGGTGAATGGCAGCGAATCTCACACATTTTCTGCTCAAACAGAGCATTCATTTCCCTCTGCAGTGTGCCCATTGTCTGCTGCTGGTTGTCAGGGAAACGGGATGGCAGAGTACTCAGGTCAAGGCTGTCCAAACTACTTAGGCTGCTTGATTCACTCTCAACGAGGTTGTGACTATTAGGAACAGAGTTTTTTGTTGCAGAGTAACTGCACTGAGGGAGAGGGTACTGGTTGAGGAAGTCTTTCCTAATGTGATGGGGTGTGTTTGGTGGCAAGGGCGGATGGCGTCTTGGGACGCTTTGTGATCTGCGTCCTTTAAATGGTGAATCTTTGGAAGATGGTGTGTCTGGGTCATTCATGCGTCTGCTTAGCACAGGGGTTGCGGGGATTGACAATGGCTGCCACTGAGGGTTAAGCCTACCATCTAAAGAACGTCCAAATTTATTCCTGAGCACCATGTTTCTGGTGTTTAACGTTCCACTGGAAGGATCTAGTATACCATCAGGTATTGGATGAAAATGTAAGGGTTCACACTCATGTGTAAGTTGTTGAGGTTCATACATCTCAGGTTCCTGCTCTGAAGCCTCAATGACAGATTTAACACCTGAGATCTGCTTCGACAAGGGCTGATTATTCAGTCTAGAAGCAGGAACCTTCATCTTAGATATTGCTACATCTGCAGGCTCACACTCCGGTTTATTTCGTTTTGGAACAGTCAACTCTTTGGTATCCTCAAGGTGTGATTGAACCACAGTCTGAATGTCAAAATCTGAACTGTCTTTTGAATCAAATGCGAAGTTGGTGTAGTCCGTAGTCACTCCTGCTCCACCAGAGCATGTGATGGAGGACAGGTGGCGCCGTGCCTCATGAGATCCTTCTGGCTCCTGAAAACAGACCTTATGTGCCCTTCTCAGGGGTTCACTTTGAGCTCCTCTGAGCAAAGATGCAGACTGTGAGGTGCTCCTGCTGCCTTTCGAGCTCACGTCATCACTGTAACGTCTGTTTAGAAAGTCTTCTTTGGTGTAGCAGTCGGCTGAGCCCTTCACCACTTTTGCTTGGTTCTTTCCAGCACCTTTTCGCAGGAAGTTCGGACCAAAAGATGTCCTTGTGCCATCTTCAGAGGTCTGCATAAGGGTTTTCTGGATTAGCTGCTTTACTGCGTTGCCTGATTTGACCTGGTAATAAATATATCAGCAGAACAATTTTATAATATTAAAATGGTGATTAACAACAGTCAAAATTTCTAAACAATGACAAAAGATAGATTTATGCAAAAAATCGAATAAAAAGTTACCTTTCCTGTGATGTCATTAATGGCAACATGGACAAAGATAGATGCTTCTTCCATACCTTCTAAATAGACATGTCGATAGCCTGTGGAACAAGGAAATAATAGAAGGCTGACTGACTAAATTATTGAAAAAATATGTAAATATATACATTATTCTCTGTCCAATAATGTCACAGAATGGTATGTAATTTACCTGGCATCATACTTTTAAATGCTATGGTTCTCTGTCCAATGAAGTCTCTTCCAATTGGATCATGGTCCCAAACCATAAAGCGTACTAAGGCAATCTGAGGCATGTGCAGCGTAAACACAAGTGTCTCCTCCCACATGGGGTTAAAACCTGTTAATGTGGCATTAAAACATGGGCAATGTGTTACATTTGGCTGCACTATACTAAAAAGATTTGTGAAATGAATGATTTTTCTGTATATTTTAATATATAATAATGTAATATAATAATATATTTTAAATATAATGTAAACCTTCTGTATTACACACACACACACACATACATATGCAGTGGGTATAAAAGACCCCCCCCCCCCCCACCGAT